ATAATGATGCATTTAAAAGTTAATGACCAAATGTATCTTAATAAATGTTCACAATGTTTCTGCAGACAAAATATAACGCAGATAACATTAAGTAAATATCTTTTCATCAGGTTAGACATATTTGTCACTCAAACGGTCTACTGGTCTCGTATATTGTAGTTTTTAACACTTTTTTTAATGTTTGTAGTTCTAATCTAATCCTTGTCCAACGTACAATGGGTTGTGGGCAATATTAGCCGTTTAAGAGTGTGCATCGATCTGCACTTCGAATTCTAACCGGAAGTAGTAGACTATTCCGGAATCTCTGGCATACTTACTTCAACATATTACAATTTGGGACACACTAATTCTATTTTCAAATACTATTTAGGGCAGATATGTGAATTGGGAGGCAGCAAAGGTCTTCACATAAACACACCAGCTTATGTCTGACATCCAAAAGGAAAAGATGCACCTGATGTTGGACAGACCTCATGAGAGGTTTATCAAGGACCTGAATGGGGGAAGAGGAGTCATAATGGAATATTGTTGTGGATGCAGTATGTTATTATGGTGGACAAAACAGAATTTTTCCTTTCATCAGAGTGAAAGAACAATGTTATTTTCTTTATATTTCATTATACGCAACTGCACACTCCTTATCTGTCAGCATTGTCATTGTACCCTGTTGGCATAGCCACGCACGTGCAATGAGGAAGAGATGGACAACTGTGAATGAATATTATTTAAATGAATGAGGTTGTGGCTACTATGCTCTCAGTACACACCATAATAACATGTTGGGAGTGTGCACAAGCCAAATTCATTAACACCGTTTGTTATCAGACTGTTGAGAGGACAGGAAGGGCTGACTGCGGCTTCTCTGACGCACAATGACAATCAGAACACTTGTTATAAATACTAAAAGGAGCTAGCTTGGTGGTTGCATTGTACCTGCCACTGCATGAATGGGTTGTTTCCTTCTTGAGAATTCTTAGCATGTGACCTCAACTGAATTTAGCCACACGTCAGCAGATTTTAAACATGGCTGGACTAAAAACTTTAGATGGTTTGTTACATTTGTAAAATAGATTTCCTGAACAAATGGAACATAATTTCCCAAAGATAATCAATTCACCATGCAAAAACAACCAGTGTCAGGGCAAAATAGCAAAACATGAAACCTTATCCTAGCTTTAATGTGAAGAAATATGTATGTAATAAGGATTAAGTAAACCCATAATGTTTTGTTACACTGAACTTCTGGAAGCATGAAGCATACTTGAACTCTCTATGTGTGGCCTACAGCTAGAAAAACAACCAAACAATAGATGAGCTTTGCAGCTGTATATCCAAAATTACAGCGTGAAGACCAGTTTTTCCAGATTCTGAAAAATATATCATTAATGCTTTAAGAAGTTGACCTTAGACTGTTTTTGCAATTTATAACTTAAGCAGAGGAAGTTGGTTAGTGCCAGCAGTGATGGTATGAGAAGTGCCTAATTCTTGGATTAATGCTTGTCTAGTGAATGGGTCCCTTTAGCAAACTAAGCTTGTGAATGTGTGTTATCTCCTTGATCTGCACTGACCTCCTGTTAAACAGAGAAGAAATTAGGCATTTATCAGTGACTCATGACCAGAAACTCCTATAGAAAGAACGATCTACAGTGAGGTGGAGAAGGTTCTTTGATGGGAGTCCTGAAATGGAAAGGTCTGGATTACCTAAACTGCAACTGCAGGTCCTAACCCCACCCGTTCCAGTCTCATGAAGTTTGAGGTGAACCAGAGTGTATGTGCAATGTTTTACAGACACACATCTCTGATATAACCAGTGCTCTCTAGATTGTGGAGCACATCAGAAGTTTCTGAATACAATACCAACAGATGTACCAAATAAAACATAACTACAGACCTTTTTTTTTCTCAACACAGTGGTTATGGTTGAGAGGGTTTGTGTAAGAAAAAATGTATGCATGAGAAAGTCCTTGCCTTGTGGCACATCTGGTTTCAACGCAGAGGCAGAAGGTCACAGCTTGTAAAGTTAGGACGAGGCCATAACAGAAAATTTGATCTACAGTTAGAAGAAAAGTTTCTGTTTAGAAACTTAAGGGGTTCTATCAGGCGCTACATATTTGCAGCCCCTTAAAGGTTCTATATAGAACCCCTGTTAAGGGTTCAATTTCAAGAACCCTTTAGGGTTCCTTGTAGCCAGAAAAAAGGGTTCTATATAGAATCTTCTACGAGTTCCCATCCTGGAATCATTTTATGAATTTAATTTTAGTTTGATTTTAATTACATTTTATGACTTAAACAGCTCATATTGATACTTTATCACTGTAAAATCTGAAATTATTATAAGGATAACACATCAAAGTATTATGTGATCATTTAAGACACTTTTATTAACATTTACAATGACACAAGCAATATTTAACACACAGCAATTCATAGTGCAACATTTAGAAGAATTAACATGAATCCATGTTTCTTTTTTATTCGTACTTTTTATTCTTTTTACCTGAAATTGACAAAATAGTACATTCAGTTTTAATGTTTTATCAAACCCCCTCCCTCTTACTCACCCATCCAACATGTGTCAGTCATAAATATATGTTGATTGCTAGAATCCACAAAAAAACAAAGTTAACCTGCAAAAAACAGTAACTAAATAAATAAAATGTCACCAAATAGTATATTAATGAAACTGATTTTGCATCTCACTACCAGGTTATTATCCTTCACCTTCAATAAATGTCAAGTATTTACCCCACTTTCTCCTATAAACCATGCAGTCTATATGATTTTTTATTTTTTATTTTTTTTTGTGGTAACTTTCCCCAATTCTGTAACCCATATAAGATGGCGAACCTGGTAATTCCACATGTTTCTGACTTGTATCAGTATTGTTTTTTTTTATTCATAAGCATTAATAAATAATTTATCATTCATAAGCATTTAAACAATAAAAACAAAGGAACCATTACAATTTCAGCACTGGGAAGGGCTATATAGTGCTGAATGAAAGAAACTGAGTGATGGCTTTTGGAATTTCCATACTGAACAAATAGGATACAGCAAACAGATACTTTTGGCATCTCTGTTGTCAGTCAGTGACACGTCCATTTTGATGCTAACTCTCTTTGCATTGAGGAGGCATGATATCCTAAGATGGAGATGCAAGACAGAAACATTTATTAGACCTACAGAGAATACAGTACAAAAAGGAAAACAGAGAGGAATCTCTCACAATCGGATCAAATCTTAAAACTTACTTTAATCAGAGAGGAAGTGTAGTATCATCTGAATGCAGATGACCAAACAAGTAATGCTGTATACTCCAGAGTCCAGACCTGCTGTGACAATGCAAACAGAAATTCTTTATTTGTTTAGCATAAGAACCTGCATGATAAATTGCAGAAAATAGAAAAAGGATGTCAGACAGTAACTTCAGATTGGTAGATTTACGAGTTTCCCAAAGTTGATACTGTGAGGAAAAATAAATATTGTACCTTTTTGTGTCATTGTTTTGCAGCACGTTGGTCATGTGTCCTTTGACTTCCACTTTTCACCACTCTGTTGAGGTTGGTGGATAAAACCTTAAAAGTGCTCTCTGAGATGGGTGAATTATTTTCCAAAACTCATCTTCATTTCATAATGCATCTTCAGCAACCAAATACAGTGTGTTTAGCATAATTAATTCAGTCAAACAAATAATGATATTTTACTATACTATAACCGAAAACACCAAATACTCGCAGTTGTCTGCAGAAAAAAAAAGGAAATATCTCAATCAGCTTTTCTCTTTGTTCTTCTTGGTTTCTCATGAATTCATGTTTATAACTGCAATCTGACTGTGATTTGACTGCTCATGATACATTGTTTCATCTTATGTTTTTAATGTGCTTAGTGGCATCTTTTTTTATGTCTGAATTGAGTATCACTGATACCAATACTACTGATGTCTCTTTTACTACTACTATTTAACCATTGACCATAGCCATTCAACATTACAGTAGTGCTGGGCGGTATGACCAAAAATGTATATCACGGTATT